ATAGATTGGCAAACAGTTGTGCATATAAAGAAAAAAATAGACTGTTGTGCTGGCGTACTTATAAACAAAAGTAGACTTACGTACTGACGTACATGTAAACAAAAAAGAGATTGGCATGTTGACGTAGATATAATAAAAAATAGATTGGCGATCTGACGTACTTATAAAGAAAAAGTAGCCTGGTGTACTGACGTTTAAATATGGCGTACATACAAACCGAAATAACCTGGCGTGTTAATGTGCATATATATAACAATAACCTGGCAGGCTTACGTACATATAAACAAAATAGACTGGTGTGCTGGCGTACATAAAAACTTAAAATCGAAAAACAGAAGTTACCTGGTGACGAAATTAGTTACCCTTTTTAGGGATGATGTTTGAACACAGTTAAAAAAAAGTCAATATTCATAAGATTAATTTTCACAACAGACATGTCCTTTTTTTTGAAAGCCTGGTGTAACACGATCTTCTTATTCCAATTTCCCGCCGTTTGGCCTTGTGCCGAGCTAAGGTAAGCTGAGTAAATATCTAGAATAGAGACTCCAGGAAATGAATTAACATTGAATAAGAGGGAATAAAAGAATAGGTAATAGGATGGAATAAAGGAATCGAATGGGAACGAATAGCGAATAGCGAGCAATAAATAAACATTGAATAATAGAGGATGAAGGCACAAAGAGTCACGAAGAATAAAAGAACATAGAATAGAGTAGAATGGGCGAATATAGAACAGGAGTAGATGAGGGAAGAATAAGAGAATCAAAAATGAAGGAACGCTGAATAAGTATGAAGGAATGTTGAATAGCAACGAATAGTGAGAACAATAACTGGGTTTGAATAGTTGTATTGAAAAGAGAAAGGGACGGACGACCGGGGAATGACAAAAGAATGGAGGAACAGAGAGTCTGGAATGGAGTGGAGGAGGGTAAGGGTAGAAGAAGGGAAAAAGTTAAGAGGAAAAAGCTTATGGGCGTAGCTCACCAAAAAAAAAAAAAAAAAAAAAAAGATTCAAAGAGCCAGGAAGGATTTAACACAGTTCGAGAGGTTTCTGACGAAGAAACTGAATTAAGAATTTGGGGAACTGGAAGAAAAAAAAAGGAGGAAAAATTAAGAAATTTAAGTGAGAGAGATAGAGAGACATAGAGAGGAGAAGAGGAGAGTAATGATGAGAGCAGTGAGAAAGGAATGACGAAAAAAAATGAAATAATTAGTACAGGGAAATAAAGAAGAAGAAAAAGAAGAAAGTAGAAGAAAAATGCAGAAGAAGTGTTAGACATTGTGAAACTTAATAAAAAGAACAGAAAAGAAAGAAAGAAAGAAAAAAAGAAAGAACGAAAGAAAGAAAGAAACAATGAAACGAGTAAGAGAAATTGCAAAATTATTATAGGGAAATTATTATAGGGAAATTATTATAGGGAAATTATTATAGGGAAATGAAGAAGAAAACGAAGAAGTAAGTTATAGAAAATATAGCAAAAGAAGAAGAAAGTGAAGATGAAGCAGCGTTAGACATTGGGAAACTTCAAGATAAGAAACGTGAAGAAAGAAAGAAAGAAAGAAAGAAAGAAAGAAAAAAGAAATAAAGAAAAAAGGAACAGAGAAATCAAAAGAGAGATAGAAGAAATGAAAATTAGTAAAATAGAGAGGGTGTTTGATATATATATATATATATATATATATATATATATATATATATATATATAGATAGATAGATAGATAGATAGATAGATAGATAGATAGATAGAGAGAGAGAGAGAGAGAGTAAAGAAAATACAAACCTGAATAAAAGTAGCAAGCACAAAGTAGGAATGGATAGACGACGAAAATAAAGGTAATATCAAGCTTAATCATTAACAACAACGTAGAAATAAATGAATAATGAAATAAATAAAGAATGAATGAATGAAAGAAGGAAAGAAAGAATGGGAGAGAGAAAGAAGTGCGTACACATACAGGCATACACACACAGGTACGTACACACATAAATGTATACATAAATGAAAACTTGTGAAGAAGACAATAAAATAGAATGAAACTACAAAACTGGATGGGTTGGAGATAAGAGAGAAAAAAAAACGGGAAAAACAATTCAGAAGTCGTAGGAGTTCGAGATGGAAAGGAAAAGAACAAAAAGCAAAGAGAGGGAAGGGGTAACAAAAGATGAAAAGAAGGCTGAAAAAAAAAAACGTAAGGCGAAAATACTACTACTAATACTACTACTACTAATATCAATAATAATGAGAAGAAGAAGAAGAAGAAGAAGATGAAGAAGAAGAAGAAGAAGAAGAAGAAGAAGAAGAAGAATTGCATAAGAATAAGAGAAAGGAAAGAAAGAAGAAAAAGACATGCGAGAGAAGGAAATATATTGACGGTTATGTTAAGGAAATAAAAGAAGAAAAAGATAAAGAAGGAGTATTGTAGAAGAAGAAGTATAAGTAAACGAAGAAACAGGAAATAATAATAATAATAATAATAATATGATAATGATGATGATGATGATGATAATGATGATGAGGAAGAAAAAGAAGAAGAAAAAGAAGAAAAAGATGTTTGAATCAAAAGATGAAGACAAAAACGAAGAACTCTGGCTCAAATCAAGATAAGAAGTTAAATGAGGAAAAAGGGCCCAGAGAACATTAATCACGAGAAAGCTAATGGCTCTGAATAATAAGACTGAATAGAAACGAAAAAATAAAAAAAAAAAAAAAAAAAAAAAAAAAAAAGAAAAAGATGCGGTCATCGTGAATAAGCAATGGGGAAACGCTAAGGAATGAGACTGGCGAATTGAATGTGATTTTAAATGGCATGGAATTGCAGGAACAAATGGGAAAAAGGTGGGTCGTTGGCAGAAGCATAGATTGAATGAGCGTTAAATTTTTTGGCGGGTAATTCTTGTAAATGAAAAAAAAATTATATAGAAAAAATAACAAAAGAAAAAATAAAAAAAATGAAAAAGTCAATTTCCCGGTGGCAGTACTGTATTTATTAAAAATTGTTTCAAATCTAAAGCTAAATGAGAAAATGTGTCCACGCATATATGAACTCATGGTTTCAATTTCAAACATGGTATCTTTCTCCTTCAGTTATACTTATTAAGATAAGAATACAGCGGGAAAGTTTTCAAAGCGTAAATTCATGAAAGTTTTTGCAAATCGTCTGGCTTATTACTCACTATTTTATGAGCTGTTCGGAAACGATCGTTGCATTTTGAATGTCTAAAAAATCAGTTGTGCGGTCTTGGCACCTAACAATTTACGCGTGTATTCATATTTGCAGTTACTATTCATGAAGTTTTTCTTGTGACCTGGTGCTAGTCGGTGTAAAATATTCGAATGATCAACGAGGTTTTCGGACAGGATTCAATGGACGGGTCATGCACGTATCGACCAATTATTTTCTTAATGTTGGACAATGTGTTTCTTTTTTCATTGCATTTAATTAAAATTTGACACAAGCTCATTCCAGAAAGGCAGCATATCCTTACGGTGCACTATCATCTGTTATTAACTCTACGCTAGGGGTTATATTTATTTTCAAGAAAATACACTTTTAAAGGTTGGAATTGAATGAAATAAGTTCAATCCGTTTAGAATTAATTGTCCTGCTTCTAGATTGGTTGTAAACAAACTAAAAATTTTATTCCGCCCTGATATTAAACCTTATATATATATCTGTAATATTCTTGCTCCTAACCTGGCATGTCGGCTTCAATCACTTTTCAAACGTCGTAACGCAGCTTCCGTGTACCTTTTCTATAAATACTTTCATGTTAATTCTTCTGATGATATTTTCTCTACCGACGGAAATTTTATGAGTTTAAGCGGAATATTAGCAAGGTATCAACATTTTAGAGTTGAATTGGTTATATATAAGTTATATGCTGGCAGTTTCTCACGTCGTACTTCTCGCTTGTGGAACTCTCTTCCTGCTTCTTACTTCCCAGTCAACTTCGATCTTCAAAAATTGAAATGCTATGTCAATCGGTACTTTCGGCTTTCATAACGCTCGTTGTTGTTCACCCTCTTTAATAGTAATTTTCTCATATTCTCTAACACTCAGCAAGTTCTTGCGTCTTAGTGGCTTTATTACTTTGATTGTGGTGAAATGATTATATATATATATATAGAGAGAGAGAGAGTGTGATGCTTAAATTGTCGCCATTTTATATTTTTAATTACGAGCATGCGCGCTGTATCTTTTTTAATGTGTCGGCTTCACACTCTTGTAGGGTCAGTTGGGCAACATCCGTGAGACAAAAAAAAAACAAAAAAAAAAAACCCACAAAAATAGCATGACCCAATTCACTCCGTCAGAAATTTGGAAACGACAAGCTGCATTTTTGGCATTCGCACCGCAAGCTCCAATACGAACATTTAAGAGTGTCTGGGTTTCAATCTGAGAACAGTACAGAGTTGGATGAGTTTAATGGTGATTACGATGGTACAGAAACTCGGAAAACTCACTGATAACAGAACTCTCAAATTTGTTGGTGAGGGCCTAAGACTCATCACGGATGCCTACATCAAATGCCTTGAGGAGGTGATATTGTCCCGAGTCAGAGGGTGGCTGCTGGGGGGACACTATGTCTAACAACACGACTCTGCACCATGCCACACAAACAATTTCTGCGATCACATTTCCTCCTTACATCTGATCACCTAACTCCCCAGACTTGCAAACCCCTTGATTATTATGGGTGGGGCGCATTTGACCGAGAGGCCAACGAAACTCCCTGTAACACCAAAGATGAACTGAAGCCAGGGTTTATGGCAGCATTCAACAAATTAAACATGGTTGAAGCCAATAGCGATTTTGTTGAGTAAATTTACTCTTTAGTATTTCAAGATATTTTTGTGTAATTTTGGTAAATATATCTGTTAAAATAAGATATCAGTGTTATATATATATATATATATATATATATATATATATATATATATATATATCTTCCTAACTGGTAGTACAACACTGAATTTCATTCAGAACGCAGTCGTCAGATGCTGATTGTAACCGATCGTTGCATAGTATCTATCTATCTATCTATCTATCTCTGTATATATATATATATATATATATATATATATATATATATATATATATATTGCGAAACAAATAGTGAAATTAAAACGACGGATTGAAAATAAATCCTTTAATTCTATAGAAAATGCTTTGTTTACGTTTAGGATATTAATCTGAGCTTTCGAGAAAATAATATCATTGAAGTGGTTGTGCTTTCCTTAAAAAAAAGATAAAATAGAGCTCTTTTTTGTGACCAAGCGGAAATGTGAGCCGGATTAAACGGTGGTTTACTCTACCCAAGGGGACTCAGGTTCAGGTTCGCTCCCTGCCGGGAAACAAATTTTCGTTACTAAGCTTTCTGCGCGTCAGACCCACTGTTCAATAAATAAATAATAGAGCGTGTCCATTATAAGTATGTTTGAAGTAATAAAAATTGGTCTCCGACAAACCTATATATATATATATATATATATATATATATATATATATATATATATATATATATATATTAAAGAAAAACAGACCACTTTAAAGCTCCATTATAATAATTTCTTTCACCAGAGGCCTTTAAAAGGACGCCGAATCATCAGATAGCACTTCCCAAAAAAGAAACGAAAAATGAAATGAAAATTGATGGGTAGTGTATGATTTTGTAATTTAACAGAGAGTGTAATAAGGAGTGGTTAGAGAGACATGGTAGGATTACCAAGTTTTTCATAACTTAATATATATATATATATATATATAGCAATAGATATTTTAAAATTTTTTATTACTGACCAACGGAAGTAGTCAATGAGTGGATTTACTGATATTCTTTCCTTCTCTCATTCTCTCTCTCTCCCTCTCTCGCTCTATCTATCTATCTATCTATCTATCTATCTATCTATCTATCTATATATATATATATATATATATATATAAAGATAGCGAGAGAGTGAATAGCAGTAATTCCACTCACTATTTCCTTTCGTCAGTAATAAAAAATAAATCTCTCTCGCTATATATATATATATATATATATATATATGTAGAGACAGAGAGAGAAAGAGAGAGAGAATAGAGAGAGAGAGAGAGAGAAAGAATATCAGTAACTCTACTCACTGACTACTTCCTTTGGTCAGGCTGGTCGTACTGATGACAAAACATTGCGTGGAGTTGAATGGTAAGTTCAAGAACTCGGACGTCAATAATTCGATGCCAAGTTGTGAAGCACCGATTACTTCTTCCGGTATCTTCCTTCTTGGCACGATATAGTTTATACATCGCAGTCATTACCCGACAATCCATTGACCTGCCAAGATGCTGATTTGAACGTCGTCGTCCTTGACTTGAGCTGTGTGCAGTTAGAATAACACAGTGCTTCTCTCTTTCCGTTTTGTGTAGCGGTCATGGCGTGGTTGTGGAGTGGTTGGAAGCTGTCGGATTAAAGAGTATTGGCCAGACAACGAATTGCAACACACACATACTTGAACTGGCGCGAGTCTACGCACAATGGCCATCAATGGTTGAACAGAACGAAGCAACTCATCAAATTGTCCGCTAAACATTTGCCGTTTTTCACCTCGACTCTCAACCATGCGAATGACATGTGGTTCGGCCATTTTAAAATTGATAAATGCCTTCTATTTGTCTATTTCTTTTGCATTTTGACTTCACAGTTGTTTTCTTATTTTCGCCCTCTCTTGTTCTCCGACAAGATTTGTCTCCGTATTTTTTTTGTCTTTCATACCGTTTCTTTCTCTCTTCCTTTCTCTTTTTTTTTTTTTTTTCTTAAACCCACTTCTCACGTTGAAGCTGATTTTAGACAGAGCCTTTGTTGTTTATGCTTTTCAGTCCCTCGCTTCACCTGTTTCTCTGTCTTCCTATCTCTCTCCCTTCCTCTTTTTTTAGACCTCTCTTTCTTTCTTTCTTTCTTTCTTTATTTCTTTCTTTCTTTCATTAATTTTTCTTTCTTTCTTTATTCTTCCTTTCTTTCTTTATTCTTTCTTTCTTTCTTTCTTTCTTTCTTTCTTTCTTTCTTTATTCTTTCTTTCTTTACTCTTTCTTTCTTTCTTTCATTCATTTTTCTTTCTTTCTTTCATTTTTTCTTTCTTTCTTTCTTTATTCTTTCTTTCTTTATTCTTTCTTTCTTTCATTCATTTTTCTTTCTTTCTTTCATTTTTTCTTTCTTTATTCTTCGTTTTTTTCTTTCTTTCTTTCTTTATTCTTTCTTTCATTCATTCATTTTTCTTTCTTTCTTTCTTCTTTCTTTTTTTCTTTCTTTCTTTATTCTTTCTTTCTTTCTTTCTTTCTTTCTTTATTCTTTCTTTCTTTATTTCATTCATTTTTCTTTCTTTTTTCATTTTTTCTTTCTTTCTTTATTCTTCCTTTCTTTCTTTCTTTCTTTCTTTCTTTATTCTTTCTTTCTTTCTTTCTTTCATTCATTTTTCTTTCTTTCATTCATTTTTCTTTCTTTCTTTCATCCATTTTTCTTTCTTTCTTTATTCTTTTTTCTTTCTTCTTTCTTTCTTTATTCTTTCTTTCTTTATTCTTTCATTTCTTTCATTTCTTTCTTTCTTTCTTTCTTTCTTTCTTTCTTTCTTTCTTTCACTCCCTCCAACTTCCCACTATGAAACAGATTTCGGACAATTCTTTCCTATTCATATTTCTCTGTCTGTCTCTGTTTCTCCCCTTCCTTTGTTCATATCTTTCTTTATCTCTATTAAGTCAAAAACAATACCCACTGGGAAGTTGTTTTGGAACAAATGCTTTCCCGTTATTTAGCTTCCTCTACCTTTCTGATTGACTCTCTCTACCATTCCCTTCCTCTCTTTTACACCTTTCTTTCTTTCTTTTTTCTTTCTTTCTTTTTTTTCTTTCTTTCTTTTAACAGTATTAAAGCTCTTCATGCTCAGGGTCAATCATTATCTATCATGCATATCGTCATACTTTTCACTTCCTACTCCCTCCTCTTACTCATATCATTCAGTAACCCTCTAGCTTGAGTGTCTCTTGAGCCTTGTATTATATGGAAATTAGTAAAGAAAAAAAACAAACAAAACAAAAAAAACAACCCCATTTTATATCAATTCCAGACAAGTTATTTCCCTGTTCTTATTTCTTAATCATTTGCTTCATCTATCTGTGTCTGTTCTTAGTCTTTTTTTAAATTTTTATATTTACGCTTAAAATTATTTTTCCTTCGCTTTCAATTGTCGAAAATAGATCTATCTATCTATCTATCTATCTATCTATCTATCTATCTATCTATCTAACTAAATGTTTATATATACGGGAAAAGTTTCGAAAACAATACCTTCTATTTCGTTGCTTTGAGAGTTATGAATGTCTGGCCGGAACATGGCTTGTAACGAACAGCACTGTCGTTACACGTGACATAAATCTTAACTGTAATCAAATTCACTGTTACTTCACCGTAAACGTTCAGCAAGCCTCGATGAGTATCAATGGGTGCATCGTTTTCAGCTTGGAGCAATTAAATGACACAACTTTGCATGGAACACACTTTTATGTGAAGAGCTCTTTTGCCATGCATCTATCTGTACATATGTGAAGTCCCCCCGGTGTCGCTGCGCCAAATGTGACGTCTTCCCTGGCTGCGTCCGTCGTGCTATCCTGTCCTGTGACGACCAACTGGCTTGTTATTGGTCGCGGCACCAAATGTGACGTTTTAACCTTTTGGTGATTCGGATGGGAATCTGGTTAGATTCGGTATCAGCCTTGTCGTTCCCAGCTCGCCTCCAAAGTCTGGTTACCGAAGTAACTGCTTTGATTTCCAGTCTAACCTACCCACGTTGTGAATTGATCTTAGGCAGACGAAATCAATCAGTCGCCGGGCAGTAATTCAAGCTGAGTTCGAATAAGGGTGATATCGCACAAGTATATGTAAAAGAAAATAAAATAATAACGCGAAAAGTTCAAATGTGTTAAAAAAGGATAACAGTATTTTATATCTGGTTGCTGAATACAGGACTGCATCTTCTTCCCAACCCGCTATATGGATTTGTGACACCTTGTTTTTGTTAGGCGAGTCTTAACATCGTAAGTTGTTTGTTCTTTAAGAAACTGGTTCTTGGTGTATCTTCAGACGTAAAACTTGTTTTGGTGGTGTGAGTTTAAGTCGTTCTTCAAAAATAAATTGTTCTTGGCTAGAAGTTGAGGTCGTGATTGCGTGGATATCTTTCAGTCAGCTTCCTGCGAGGCTATTAACTCTGTAACTGTCTCTGCCAATTGCCAACTCCAACTGCTTTTCACTCGCTGCGACTCTGCTTATGTGGACGCCAACCAAAACCGGGGTGGGCTTGTCGGGGTTTGAGGTTCCTTGATGATTCCAAACCCACAATCCACTTCTTTGTTTTCGGTCAGGAAAATTTTATTATTTTCCATTTTTGGAAGTTTTTCGTCTTCCCACCTTCTTCTGTTCTCATATTGGTATCTCACCATGCCCTCAGAGGGTGCCAACGGGTTTCCCCTCTCTCCCACAGTGGCATCTCACACCTATCCCTTTCAGGGGGGCGCAACAGACCTCCCCTCCTTCTTCACGTGATTACCTCCGCCTAACGCTCATACTACCATTCAGCCAATGGGCGCTCAGCAGCGTGGATGTGGCCAGACTAGCCTCGGTTTAAAAAATCTTGCTCAAAGAAAAAAAAAATTATCTTCCCCCTTTTTTTTTCCTTCTTTTCTTCGAGGAGACCTCACACCCTAGACTCTTATCTCAACCGAATAACCTGGAATTCGTCAATCAGATTTTCGCCAGCATCAAGCGGGTGGCCATTTGGACGTATTTGCATTCTTGGTGCCAATTACTGATCCGATAAAATAGTTTCGCTATCATAGCCAGCCCTGACAATAAACAGATGCTCCTCACAATGATTTCTGCGTATAGACAAAGGCTTAACCTTTCCTTCATGGTGGTCAGCTGGCATTTTTGTTTTTTTTTTCTCGGACAGTGCGTGGTTAATTAATTTTTATTTTTATCTCTTTAGAATTCTGCGAGAGGTAATTTGTCCAACTTGAAAATTCCCTTTACCATTGCAATGAGCAGATTGGACGTATCTTACTCGCCGCCCCGTAACATAAATCAGATTAATTCTGTGTTTTACCTTCTCTACAATGGAAATAAAAATCTTACCACTTTTCCTTGTCAGAAAAATAACACCGCTTAGTGTCCTTTTCGTGATGGCTTCTTATCATCTAAATTTAATTCTCGCCTTTCTTTTTTTTTATTTCTTTCCAGCAACCCTAAATGGTGTCACACATAAGCAAAAAAAAAAATGGTTTTATTGGTGCGAAGTCTCCGTTCTTAATGTCATATTTGCAACACCCGCCTACAAGATTGTGAATCAACATAATAAGATTCAAGTTACTATCTTCGGACACTCATCATCAGAGTGGTTATTTGAACGTTACAACGGAATAGCAGGCGCAGGTCGTAAATCCATAATGCTGTTCTATGACATCGTATATGACAACGTGAAAGAGAAATGTGATCAACAGAATCGTATGCTTAAATGTATTGTGATATGTTATGACTGGTTTGAAATGCAATTTTGTTGAGTGTAGCTTCCTTTTTTTTCATGTAGACAGACTCCAATATCTTAAGGTTCAACAGTTTTTGTTTTTATTTTCTCCTGAAACTAAAGCCATTATACGAAATTTGGAACGGCTCATGATAAAACATAGTAGACATTCCTTGTCTTTTATATTTAACAATGTTATGCTTGAATAATGATCTGCTGTCCCTATACACTATATATATATATATATATATATATATATATATATATATATTTTAAAGAAAAACAGGCCACTTTAAGGTTTCATTATAATAATTTATTTCACCAGAGCCCTTTTAAAGGACGCCGGATCATCAGATAGCACTTCCAAAAAATGAAACGAAAAATGAAATGAAAACTGATGGGTAGTGTAAGTTCTTGTAATTTAACAGAAAGTGTAATAGGAGTAGTTAGAGAAACATGGTAGAGTTTAGGGAGGGTTTGATTTAATATTTCTCTCAGTTATACTTAGTATTGTGGGAGGAGGAGTGACTAGACCTTGACCTATTTAAACGGTTAACTTAACGGAAGTAATATATTGAAATGGGAGGGGAGAAGAGAGAAAGTAAAAAGGAAAAGAAAGAAGGGGGAAGTAAAGAGAAAGAGATTGTAAATCGGTTTTACATTTGAAGGAGAGGGGTGGTAAGTTTTAGCAATTTATGTAAAAATAGATTTTAATGTTTGATAGTAATTTAGATATCTAAAATAATCCACGAAGAAATTAATTTGATGCTTGCTATCGCACTGAGTAGGCTCCCTTTACCAGTGCAATTTTAAAATAGGAAGCGACAGGCCGTGTAAATATCTGTTCACACAAAGTTGTCAGGTTCATGGTCCGCTGCTTTTCTCTATCATTTTTGACTTTGATATATCCTGTAGTGTCAAATTCTTGAAGTCCTCCTTCCTCATTATATGTCGAAGATATTTCAATTGTTCTTTCTGATTCTGAGTATAGTGATACCGAAATAGCTTGTCTTCAAAACATCCACTCACTTCGCGTGTGCGATTTACACTGGGCGCTCATTATTGCGACCCTGAATCAGACTAAACAAAGACTTGTATCTATCCACCAACTTTGTTGTTTGTGGCTTTTATTTTGATTAAAATGAAAACACAAGCCTATAACCTTAATATCACAATGAAAAGATTAATTTTAAAACGAAAAAAAAACCCAAAAAACTCCATATCCAAACAAACTTGGATCAAAGAAAATGAAAGATAATCGAAAAAAATAAATAAAGAAAGAAAATGAAATATATAAAAATGGACGGCTTAATACCATCATGTTTCTTGTTGATTATCGAAAGATGGTAAGTATAATTTCGAAAGTTCCTGAATTAAAATAACGACAGGGAGGAATATTAAAAACGAAGACGACGAAGATAACATATTTTCGGGTAAATTAGAAGGAAAGAAATTTTAACAAAAACGAATAAAAGCAGTCAATTCTATACATGATCAAACACATACAACATAAGAGTTCGTTTCATCTGTCTGTCTGTCTGTCTATCTGTCTATCTATCTATACTTACGGCCAAATCACGATGAAAAACTATTCCGCGTACGATCCTCGAAGTTAAACGACGTTGAGCCTGGGCAGTACCTTAATGGGTGACAGATTGGGAATATCAGGTGGCCGTTTGGGAAGACCAGATACTGTAATGACTGGATGAGTAATGAATATTGCCTTAAGGTGTGCTATATTTATGGGATGAAGTGCCATTATCAGAGATAGAGCGTGTGTAAATATAAAAGTGAACATTGCGTCTAGCATGAAACAGCCCTTCACCTTTAAGTGTTGACTTCAATGTTCTTATATATTATATATATATATATATATATATATATATATATATATAAATTTATTTAGTTAAACGGATAGTCGTATTTGAGTAGATGCTCTGCTTTTATTTATTTATTTATTCGTATCTGCAGGCCTGAATATTCGAAAAAACTTGTTAGAAAAATAAGCGTTCTCCTGACAGGATTCGAACCTGGGTCCCATAGGGGAAACCGTCATTACATTTGACGTTCCTGAGACCAACTCGACTAGATAAGGTCTCCTGATAAAACAAAGCCCGAATAGTGCTTTTGAACGCACATCTTCCCGATTCTCGAAAAACATATCTCGATATTCAAGACGGTAGATGTAAATAAAGAAATATTTAATAAATAAATAAAAACAGAGCATTTAATCAAATACGAATATCCATTAAAAATAACGTTTAAATAGTATTTAGACAGCATATCTTCCTTCAAGCATGTTTAGTTGAAAAAGTTGGACATATTGTGTCTATTTAGTTTATTTTAATCCTTTCGAATTCTCTGATCGACTTCTTAATGTTGATATCAAATCTATTAAGGAAGTACTTTTTTTTTCATTTCTTTTATTTTCCTAAGTACTTTATCCATTGGAATTACAAGGTTTTGTTCTTTTTAAATAGAATAGTGTTTATTCTGTAAGTTTTTGTAAACTTACACCAAGCAGTATTTAAAATGCATATGATAAAGGAATATCTCCAACAAACAAAAGGTATGCAATGAAAAATATTTCTACCATATATTAGTACGGTTTACGGACACATCACTTTGAAACGCCGTTTCCCGTACGATCACCGAAGTTAAGCAACGTTGAACCTGATCAGTATCTACATGGTTGGAAATAACAGATGCTATAAGCTTGTATATGTGGAGAGTTTAACGGATAATGACTCGGAATTGTTAATTAGTGAGTCGAGTTGCAATTCCCGTTAGGTTCGTTATATTTATTTACGCGTAAAATCTTCTCCTCCTAGCTATGGGTTAATTAGTAAAACTTGTATCCCTCAGCCATTATTATATATGAAAAAAATCTTGCAATATAAAATATATTTTCTGAGAACTGTTGATAAACTGTAGAAGCTGAATGAGTGGATCAATCAATCAATCTACTATATATATATATATTACGCTCGCGAATCACGTGACCCAAGGTCGTAGGGGTCCAACATGTACTGCAGCCGCAGTAGAAGTGGTGTTTCTTTGGCAGGATAGCCAAAGCTTCTCCAAGCTGTTTTTGAATTCAGAGGTACTTTCCCCTAGATCAGTTACCACCCAAGGCTATACAGCACAATCTGTTCTGCTATTTATCTGGGGTGGGGTGGGAGGAAGAAGAGGATTCATAATTTTCACTTAAGTAAATTTAATGGATCCGACTTGAATTCGAACTCAGCTCCCCGATTCATCAAACCTAGCCGCTATCCAAGCCGCTATTCATTACTCCACCGTCCGCACATATTACAAGGTTGTGATAATAATAATAATAAAAAAAAATACGCTGTCAATATATCGGCAAGAGTACACTAGTAAATAAATAAATGTCTGAATCTTTTGGCGGTATTTAGTACTAGAATCCAGCTTTCTCATATTGAGATTCTAGAGCTTGATCAAAGTAGAGATCAGCTTCTAGATTGTTATATAAGAATAAAATGGCCAACACTTGAGTTTGAACATAGATAGCCAGTGAGCAATCACAGACGATCCCATTATTGAATGGAGTAGATCACGTGACCATAGATGACACGCATAATTAGAAAGTCGCGTGACGTCTAATTGATCGCTGTTTCTAGTTTATCCTCTATACTCTGTTACTATATGGATCACTATTTCTACTCTATCATATCATTAGTATATGTATAGCTATTCGCTATTTCTCAATACAATTCCTCTATTCGGATCACTATACAGATTGCATTTCGAGCTAGAATTATCGAGCAAGTAGTATTAGTGCGAGTGATATTCGAAGGCGTCTGACACCAGCATTGTTCAACGGTGTTACTATAGTTGTATCTGCGATTACAAAATCTCTACTACAACGAGCATTACGAAAGTGTCAACGAGTATTTGTTGACATCACAAAAGTGTCAACGAGTGTTCGTTAAATCACAAAACAGGCTCTGGTCTTCTAGATTATTGGAGGTGCACCCATAAACAGTGATATTGATTGATTTGTTTTCTTTTTTACGGCTTACCAACCCTTCGTGTATTATATAAAATCAAAACATATTTTGGATTGTAAGAATAATTCTTTTTCTTAGCGAGTGAAAATTGCATTAACAGTGTTTTCAGAATAACAATAAATTTCCAGATTACAAATACTACTACTTAACCCATAGCTGAGGGGTGAAGATGCATTCATATCTTTCCCAAGGTACTTGTGCAAAAGTGAATGCAACTGACTAGACTGGAATTCGAACTTGCTCTCTGATTTCTCATTCGAAACCGCTACCCATTACACCATCTGCACATCCTTTTAAAGGAAATAAGGGATAATGTCGAGATATGTTATGTTATTAACTTTTGGAATGAATTTTGGTTCAGGTGATATGTCATGACTCCAAGAAGAATTCAGAAAAAGGAAGAATAGTCATTTCCTGTCCTCTTATAATTTTGCTTGTCGCTCTCTTCGTTAGTTCACACGACCATTACGTCCTGCCAATACCTCATCAATAATGGACTATTCCGTTTTGATCGCGTGGGAAGAAGGGGAAAGTCTCGACTTGGTTTCAGTGAGAACATGAAAGAAGGAAAGAAAGAAAGAAAGAAAGAAAGAAAGAAAGAAGGGAATATAGAAGAGTTTAAGATCTGCCAAAACCTTATAAATAATGAATTATTTCGATGCCATCGCGTGAAAAGAGGAGAAATGTTACTACTTGGTTTCAGTGAGAAAATGAAAGAAAGAAAGAAAGAAAGAAAGAAAGGAAGGAAGATAGAAGGGTTTAAGATCTGCCAAACCCTCATAAATAACGGACTATTCCGATTTTTATCGCGTGGGAAGAGGGGAAATGTCACTACTTGGTTTCAGTGAGTAAATGAATGAATGAATGAAAGAAAGGAAGAAAGAAAGAAAGAAAGAAAGAAAGAAAGAAAGAAAGGAGGGAAGATAGAAGTGTTTATCGTCTGTTTCAGTGAAATGGAAAAAAGTTTTTAATTTCAAATCTTTTCATTTCTACCCACTTCATAAAATAGCGACCAGCATTCATATTTATGATTGTTATTGCAATATTTTGTTAAGCTCAAATATTTAACGATGCGATAGTGTGTGATTTCTACGGATATTTTTTATTGTCACAGATCTTGCCTTGAGCTTAATCAAGCATGAACTGAAGAATTTAAATTCATCCGAAAATTCAAATAGGAAAACCATGAAATTTTCACGGGTTAAAAGTAGTTTAATAAAATTTGTTTAACGAAGAATTTATTTGTTCACAGTTTGATTCTTTGCTCGATAAATAATTTACGATTATTTTTTCCCTTTATGTGTCGTGTCCTTTCAGCACGAAGGAGATCATGGCTCTCTGCTGCTTCCTATATTTTGTAGCTCTAAGTAACTTTTGGTCCTTTTAATATCCCTATTTTTCTTGTTATTTCATCCATTCTCGCAAACTCGTTAAATAAGTTACTCGCCATTTCAACCTGTTACTCTTAAATTCCTTATTCCTCGTGTGTGTTTATTTTTCCCGGCCATCTTTCCTCATCATGAGTTCCAGGAATTGCAATTGTCTCTTTCTGATTCGACGTAACATTTTTTTGTTCTGTTTTTCCTTGAAATTTCCTTATTGCTCAAATGATCTGCCCATGGCATTCTTATCATTCCTCAACAGAATGACATTTCTGTTTCTTAAAGTCACGTCTTCATCTGTCAGTCAGCTTTCCAGCATTCACTAGAATGCAGGATATTAGACTTTCCATACCAGTTAAGCTGCTTTATATTTGTTTCTTACGACATTTTTTTTTACAGTAAGTTCACCCTGTAAAAGGCCCGGAGGTCACTCGAGGTAGAGGGTTAAGTTAGGAGGTAGTTTGTACGAATAGGAGAGTTAACTTGAACAAGTTAAGATTATAATGGTCGGGGAAACATCCTCATGGGAGTCGGTTCCACAGAGCAGCGGTTAGTAGGAAGAAGCTGTTCGAGCGGAACATAGTTCTCACCGATGGAATTTGGAGGGGATGTTGGTAGTTTGCTGCAATGTAAGTGGCATGACGAGTCCTTGCCGTGAAGTTTAGGCGTGACGGAACCAAAGAATGTAGTTCGCCTGAGCACTTTCCGTGAAAATAGCAATCGAATCACTAGAGGTTTGCCACATCCTGCTTGTGAGAGAAATACTGGAGGGTGGAAAATGTTACGTACAAAGACCCGGAAACGCTTTTTGACGCCGAGGCTGAAAAGTGCGGTCAGTGCAGCTCTAGGCTAAATATGGCAACAGTACTTTATTCTTGGCCTCTCGCTTATAAAGGTAGACTATAGCACTGGAGGCAGGTACTTACTGGAGTGGTACAGGTAGCCGACAATTTTACCTGCATTATTAGCGATGGCTCGTATATATTCAACTTGAGGTCAAGTGTGAGTTCAAGGGCCAACATCTCTCAAGACACAGTGCCTCTCTGAGAGGACATCGTTTCATCGAGACTGTCGGTAGTTCGGTGTCCGATTGACGATGGTGTAATTTTCCTCTCCCTTTCGTTAGTTTCTGGGAGACATTCCGATACACCTTCGGATTTCTCCGCCACATTTTCCGTTATCTGTTGCAGCCATAGACGGTTGAATATCTGTACCTGCTCGATCTTGACGTCCCAAATGCACAGCACACGCTTTGGGTTTC